TGCTATCCACTATGGATCCAAACATTGCTAAGTCGCCAATCAGTGATTTGATTTTACTAAGATTTTGGATCATAGAGAGGTTTTTTATAGAGATTTGTGGAATTTCGTTTTTCAGTTGGATGAGACGAGAATGGCTGAAGGATTGTAAGCACCATTTGCCATTTACCCGCATTTCAAATGTATTGATAGCATTCAAGCTGGATAAACATAAGGACAGCTACAACTAGGTTGAAGCGCATGGAAGCGGTGAGGTTTTGGAATATGAGAAGTCATTGGTTCTAGGTGGGTTAGGTCGAGACCTGCCCATTGGTTTCAAGACAGACAGCACAGGGAGTCGGGCAATTCTTTCCAAGAATCCAGTAAAGCCATTAGATAGTTTTCGTTTTGATAGTTGGGTAGGAATAATGGTTTTGGTCTTGGATTATAAAAGAAATCTGAGTGAGGGGATGGGAGGATCATTGATTTTGCACTGTGGATATTTTGTTGCCAGGCTGAGATTTGGCCGACTGATCCATTGTAGGTGATTGGTGTGTTGCTGCTAGGCAAAAATCTATAATGCCATAAAAGCAAACTCCATCTGGTAATGTCATGGCATGTTTTATGTAATAATAAACAAGTTGAGGGGAAGACGAAAGAGGTAAGCAAATTGTTGTATGATAATGTTATAATTGTCTTTCAGATTTTATAAATTTGATAATAGTTCTTAAAGTAACTATATCAATTATATTATAAGATTATTCGTATATTTATGCAGAAAGAAGGTTTTGGATTAATGTATCAAAGAAGAAGGTTACGTGGTGTAGGTTTGGAAGGGAACACTCGTCAAGGAATAAGTAATGCCTTTATATTCAAATATAACAACTTTCAATTATAATCATGAAGATTAATATTGAACGCATTAAAGTGAAAGGTTCTTTAAACTTGTTTAATGTATAGAAATTATTTTTCATTCAAATTTTCAAGTATGAATACCATATACATAATTTAATCGTGTAAGTATAAAATAAGGTTTTGTATGTTAATCTAAATATTTTTTCTATTTAATACTATTTTTAGAAATTTATCAATTTTCTTGCATATGGTATACATTTTAATTGTGTACAAATTAGTACATAAATGATTATGAAGCATGCAACAACTTATGTATGACTTATGAATACTGAAAAGTTAGTGAATATTAATTTAAAAGTAAAGTTTAGCTAAAATTGATGTTAACTTATAAAAGTATGTGGGACAAAAGGGTTCCATATATGAAATTACATTAATAAGTGGGGTAAAAGGTACTTCAGAGAATTATGATACTTACTAGCATGTTGGGCAAAATGGACCCCTTAAGAGGAAAAAGGAACCTCTATATAATTCAATAGCGATAATATCAAATTTATCTGGGCTCCATTGAATATATGTTTTGAAAATGTAGTCAAATCTTTTTTACATTAAATTGAATATCAGTTATAATTCGAAGAAATAAATATTAAAGCTAATTATGATTTTTTTAATAATTTCAATATTTGATTAATTTCAATGATTGTATCTTAAATGTTAATTAATTTGCAATGCTACTGAGCCTCATATCTTACCAGTATTTTTCTTACTGGTTGTTATTACAGAAAAGGAAAAAGAAAAGATCAGAGATGACTAATTGCAAGTACTTAAATGTTTCAAGTAGTTTTAAGTCTGTTTGTAAAACTACGCTTAAGGTATGTGAACTTTATAATGAAGTGTTACTTTGGATTTCTGTAGTGGCTTTATAAGTATCTTATGTTAAAATTTAAAGTTATTAGTTGTTTTCATTTGATTAGATGTATGAGAGCTGAATTGTTAGATACTTTTATAATGTTCAAAAGTAATGTATGATCAGAAAATAAAAGGTCTATGTTAGTAATACTTCTTGTATTGTTAAAGGGTATTATGGGGTTTACAGTATGAGAACGATCAAGAGAGAGAAGAGAGAGTGAGAGAGAGAGAAGAAGACATCTATAAAATTTTGTCATATGAAGCTAAATGTGCTTTAACATCTGTAAAATGTAGATTGCTTGGTTAGTTTTGATCCAACAGTGTAGAGGAAATAAGTTGAGGTGGCTGCTCCATTCGCTATTGTATAGTGGCTGTCGTAGTTACAATCAAAGTAACAAAACCTAATTATTTCTCCCAGCACTAATTAAGAGCTTGAACCATTAACCCATCTAAACCTCAAACATCTACAAATCTAGTAACAGTGCCTTCCACCAAATCAACCGCCAGACCACCCATTTATAATTCTCCCATTACAATTAGAACTCAAGAAAACGAACACTCACCCAGTACCGCCGAGCCAGGGACTCGGACGCCTCCTCCTCCTGCCTCCCGTAATCGTCTCTGTGCTTTCCCAAGCTCAAAAGTGTCGGCAGCGCGGATCTGATCGCTGTCTGGATCCTCCCTTGAACTCCAAGTTAGAAGCGCTAATCGCGAGCGCCAGCCTGCATCTGGAACTCCTCCTCTGTTGAATAGTAATCAACCCGCTCCACCGCTGTCGCCGATGCCCTCCCGTCGGCGATGGTGGGGTCATCACCGGCAGCGCTGGAGGCTCCACCATAGCAGTCTGGTGATCGGAGGCGCATGACCTGGCTACGGCGCCTGATGTGACAGCTGGAGCCGGAGAAATCTCTCCAGATCGGATATGATCTTGGGTACTTCCGATGTGAAAGCTTCCGAAAAATATTCTTCATCGTATTCTGCTTCGAGGATAACTTTCTCGCCCGCTAGCTCTCGTGGGAGCTCGCAGGAGGGAGGGAAGAATTGGGGAAGTCTTTTCAGTATAACCAAGCTAAGTATGGTGGGCATTTAGTTTTATATAAAATAGATTATTCTATTGAAAATTTACCGATGCGACCCAATCTCCGTATTCGTAAATTTAGAGAAGATTTGGCCCTAAATCGAAACACAGAGAACAGCACGAACGCAGTAAATAATAGTTTGCTCTTTGCCCGCGGCAAGTGTCGAAAGAACGGACAGAATATTTGTTTTTAATTAATTGACAGCGGTTGCACGTCGATTCGTATAAACTTTTTATGCGTACTTTTTTTTATCGTAATCAATATTATTTTTTTTCACATTTATTAGTACGTCTGTTTTATTTTTGTCTTATTTAAAAAATTATTATTTTAAATATAAACTCTAATTAGAGTGTGAACGTGATTTTATTTTATATATATATATATTATATATATATAAAATTGAGAGACTAACCCATTTAAAATTGTTTGGTATAAAGAAAATTGCAACGAAGTCAAATAATCAGTTAACAACTCAATTGGGACACAACTCTCCTTGGCCCTATTGGTTGAGAACTTAGGCTTCCAATTAAGAGATTCAAAGTTTGAGTCTATGTGTATGCGTTGTATGTGTGAGTTTGCCTTCTATGACCTAAATGTTCAATAATAATTTGGTGCCGATCAAAATTTTTATTTTTTAGATAAAACTTTATTAGTATATTTATTATTAACACAACTCCCCTTAGCCTATTGGTTGAGAGTTTAGGCTTCCAACTAAGAGGTCCAAGGTTCGAGTCCATGTGTATGCGTTGTGTGTGTGAGTTTGCCTTAAATGGCCTAAATGTCCCAAAAAAAAAAACAACTCAATTGGGAAAGAGCCAAAAAGGTTGTAGAAGATTATGCAACAAAAAAACTTTAACAAATAAAATAAATATATAAATATAATTTGTAAACATAAGAAAATGAAAGGAAAAAAAAAACTAAAATAAATTGGACTCAAACGACAACGAAAGCACCCAAAGCCTAAAAATACTTTTAAATAACCAAATTCTTCTGGTTGCCTGAGCAGGAGTAGAGAGCATCGAGGAGCGAGGCTAAAGCAGACCAAAAATTAATTCTCATCGTCCAGTCAAAACGACACTAGAAAAAAAAAACAGTACTATCAAATTTGTAGAGCATCCCAACTAGGGGTATCAATTTTTGACATGACCCGAAATCAGTCCCGGACTTGGCTCAGAAAAATCTGGGTTCGGGTCAACCCGTTTGTGAAACGGGTCGGGTTCATGTTCAACAAACCAACTCGTTTCAAAAATCGAGTCGGGTTTGGGTTGACCTGGCAACCCGAAAATGACCCGAAAATCCTCTGCTCGCATCTGCTGCCAGCCCTGCCTGAAGTGTCGAGTGCCCGCCAGCCCGGCTACCCGCGTTACCAGAAGCGTCGAGTCGCATCCCCAATCGTGTCACTGGCAGTCTAGCGCTGTCTGGCTCTGGCGCTGCGTCGCTTCACGAATCACGAGTCGCGAGTCTCGACGTTCTCTTGTTGCCGCCGCAGACGCTGCGCCGCTGCTGTCGCGCCGCCAGGACCAAAACTGGAAGTAGCGACTTAAACCCGCGCCTTTGAATTTTTTTTTTTTATATAATTTTTTGAATTCCTAAAATATTTTTTAAAATTTTATAAATTTTAAGAAAAATTTTCAAGTTATTCAATAATATGATCTTTATTAAAATTAATTATAATGATAACTTTATTAATTTATAAAAAATTAATAAAATAAAATTTTAAATTTTATTCACATGCAATCATATTATATAAATATTATTTTTTAGTTTTTATTAACGTGCACCATGTGCACGTGCATTTATACTAGTATAATAAAATGACGTTCACACTCTAATTAGAGTTTATATTTAAAATAATAATTTTTTAAATAAGACAAAAATAAAACAGACGTACTAATAAATGTGAAAAAAAATAATATTGATTACGATAAAAAAAAGTCCGCATAAAAAGTTTATACGAATCGACGTGCAACCGCTGTCAATTAATTAAAAACAAATATTCTGTCCGTTCTTTCGACACTTGCCGCGGGCCGTTCCAAAGAGCAAACTATTATTTACTGCGTTCGTGCTGGATCTGCGTGTTTCGATTTAGGGCCAAATCTTCTCTAAATTTACGAATACGGAGATTGGGTCGCATCGGTAAATTTTCAATAGAATAATCTATTTTATATAAACTAAATGCCCACCATACTTAGCTTGGTTATACTGAAAAGACTTCTCCAATTCTTCCCTCCCTCCTGCGAGCTCCCACGAGAGCTAGCGGGCGGAGAAAGTTATCTCGAAGCAGAATACGATGAAGAATATTTTTCGGAAGCTTCACATCGGAAGTACCCAAGATCATATCCGATCTGGAGAGATTTCTCCGGCTCCAGCTGTCACATCAGGCGCCGTAGCCAGGTCATGCGCCTCCGATCACCAGACTGCTATGGTGGAGCCTCCAGCGCTGCCGGTGATGACCCCACCATCGCCGACGGGAGGGGCATCGGCGACAGCGGTGGAGCGGGTTGATTACTATTCAACAGAGGAGGAGTTCCAGATGCAGCTGGCGCTCGCGATTAGCGCTTCTAACTTGGAGTTCAGGGAGGATCCAGACAGCGATCAGATCCGCGCTGCGACACTTTTGAGCTTGGGAAAGCACAGAGACGATTACGGGAGGCAGGAGGAGGAGGCGTCCGAGTCCCTGGCTCGGCGGTACTGGGTGAGTGTTCGTTTTCTTGAGTTCTAATTGTAATGGGAGAATTATAAATGGGTGGTCTGGCGGTTGATTTGGTGGAAGGCACTGTTACTAGATTTGTAGATGTTTGAGGTTTTAGATGGTTAATGGTCAAGCTCTTAATTAGTGCTGGGAGAAATAATTAGGTTTTGTTACTTTGATTGTAACTACGACAGCCACTATACAATAAGCGAATGGAGCAGCCACCTCAACTTATTTCCTCTACACTGTTGGATCAAAACTAACCAAGCAATCTACATTTTACAGATGTTAAAGCATTTTAGCTTCATATGGCAAAATTTTATAGATGTCTTCTCTCTCTCTCACTCTCTCTCTCTCTCTTGATCGTTCTCATACTGTAACACCCCATAATACCCTTTAACAACACAAGAAGTATTACTAACATAGACCTTTTATTTTCTGATCATACATTACTTTTGAACATTATAAAGTATCTAACAATTCAGCTCTCATACATCTAATCAAATGAAAACAACTAATAACTTTAAATTTTAACATAAGATACTTATAAAGCCACTACAGAAATCCAAAGTAACACTTCATTATAAAGTTCACATACCTTAAGCGTAGTTTTACAAACAGACTTAAAACTACTTGAAACATTTAAGTACTTGCAATTAGTCATCTCTGATCTTTTCTTTTCCTTTTTCTGTAATAACAACCAGTAAGAAAAATACTGGTAAGATATGAGGCTCAGTAAGCATTGCAAATTAATTAACATTTAAGATACAATCATTGAAATTAATCAAATATTGAAATTATAAAAAAAATCATAATTAGCTTTAATATTTATTTCTTCTGAATTATAACTGAATATCAATTTTAATCTATAAAAGATTTGACTACATTTTCAAAACATTATTCAATGGAGCCCAGATAAATTTGATATTATCGCTATTGAATTATATAGAGGTTCCTTTTTCCTCTTAAGGGGTCCATTTTGCCCAACATGCTATGTAGGTATCATAATCTCTGAAGTACCTTTTACCCCACTTATAATGTAATTTCATATATGGGAACCCTTTTGTCTCACATACTTTTATAAGTTATACATCAATTTTAGCTAAACTTTACTTTTAAATTAATATTCACTAACTTTTCAGTATTCATAAGTCATACATAAGTTGTTGCATGCTTCATAATCATTTCTGTACTAATTTGTACACAATTAAAATGTATACCATATGCAAGAAAATTGATAAATTTCTAAAATAGTATTAAATAGAAAAAATATTTAGATTAACATACAAAACCTTATTTTATACTTACACGATTAAATTATGTATATGGTCATTCATACTTGAAAATTTGAATGAAAAATAATTTCTATACATTAAACAAATTTAAGAACCTTTCACTTTAATGCGTTCAATATTAATCTTCATGATTATAATTGAAAGTTGTTATATTTGAATATAAAGGCATTACTTACTTCCTTGACGAGTGTTCCCTTCCAAACCTACACCACGTAACCTTCTTCTTTGATACATTAATCCAAAACCTTCTTTCTGCATAAATATACGAATAATCTTATAATATAATTGATATAGTTACTTTAAGAACTATTATCAAATTTATAAAAATCTGAAAAACAATTATAACATTATCATACAACAATTTGCTTACCTCTTTCGTCTTCCCTCAACTTGTTTATTATTCATAAACATGCCATGACATTACCAGATGGAGTTTGCTTTTATGGCATTATAGATTTTTGCCTAGCGGCAACACCCAATCACCTACAATGGATCAGTCGGCCAAATCTCAGCCTGGCAACAAAATATCCACAGTGCAAATCAATGATCCTCCCATCCCCTCACTCAGATTCTTTATATCCAAGACCAAAACCATTATTCCTACCCAACTATCAAAACGAAAACTATCTAATGGTTTTACTGGATTCTTGGAAAGAATTGCCGACTCCCTGTGCTGTCTTGTCCTTGAAACCAATGGGCAGTCTCGACCTAACCCACCTAGAACCAATGACTTCTCATATTCCAAAACCTCACCGCTTCCATGCGCTCCAACCTAGTAGTAGTTGTCCTTATGTTATCAAGCTTGAATGCTATCAATACATTTGAAATGCGGGTAAATGGCAAACGGTGCTTACAATCCTTCAACCATTCTCGTCTGATCCAACTGAAAAACGAATTCCACAAAATCTCTATAAAAAACCTCTCTATGATCCAAAATCTTAGTAAAATCAAATCACTGATTGGCGACTTAGCAATTGTTGGATCCATAGTGGATAGCAAAGACATCTACTATAAACCCTCAATGGTCTCCCAACCCAATATCATGCATTCAAAACCTCCATCCGGACCAAGCTCACACCCATTAAAGTTGAGGATCTCTACTTCTTCTTCATTAGTGAGGAGATCAATTTGGCAACATAGTCAACCAAAGAACAAGTCTCCCATGATACACATAGGGCTCTTTTTATCTCCAGAGGCCACAACCACCACGGTCATAGCTGCAAATTCAACCAAAGCCTACGTGTCATAGGTCCCACTTTGGGTGATTGAGGAGGATGAATTGCCAATCCAATCTCTTGCCAAATTTGTGGCAAACATGGTCACACCGCCCTCACATGTGGTCACCGTCTGACATTATGACCCCCCAAACTCTCAGCAATAGCCTAAAGCTTTGTTTTCCACTTCACCCTACACCTTACCTCAACAACATCATCTACACTAATCCACTCTCTTTCAAGGCTTAAACCAAGTCAAGGTAGGCAAGGGTGGTTCATTTCCTATTGCTCACATCAGTAAATATTTGTTACCTACACCACATTGTAAGCTTTCACTCTTAAATATTTTATCCATGTACCTCATCTAGCTCATAATATTCTCTTTATATCCAATCTAACCACTAACAATAATGTTTCCATTTCTTTTGGTGCCTTTTGGTTCCATTAAGGACATGAAGTGCAACTGTGTACTCTGAGGGCTATGCTGTAACAACCTCTATCCTATTCAACTATCACCATCGCAATCTGCTTATCTAGTTCTAATAACAACTAATTATCCCTCACTGCTTTGGTATCAACATCTCCTACATTCTCACCATCATGTTTTGACAACCATCTCCAAGCAAAATAGCAACATCAACATTCCTACTACTTTCTCTCATTGCATTTCTTGTAATGCCTCCAAATATCATAAATTACCTTCTATAAAATCTAGCAATCACAATTACAAACCGTTGGAACTAATCCACTCAAATGTATAGGTCCTTCTGCAGCCTCATCGGTTCAAGGTTTTAACTTTTAAATATTACACTTTATTTATTTGTAACTTCTCTTGCTATGTTTAGACATTTTCAATGTACACAAAATTTGAAGTCACCTCTCACTTCATTAAATTTAAAACTCTACTAAAAAATCAACTCCTATACAAAAAAAAAGCCTTCTCATTGATGGAGGAAAGTAATATCTCAATAATTACATTCAAACCCATGATATAATTCATCAAACTAGTTGACTACACTCCAGAGCAAAATGGCCTCGTCGAATGCAAACATAGGAATATTCTTGAAACTACTCAAACCCCCTTCACGTTGCCCATCTCCCTTACCACCTTTGTATTGACACTCTACTTCAGTTTATCTTATAAAGCACATGTCCTTCACTAATAGAAAGCACAAATCCCCATACCACCTTTTGTTCAAGCAAAAGACAAACTACTTCCATCTATGCACTTTTGGATGCATCTGTTTCACTTGTCTCTCCCCCCTCCCCGTCATGTAGCCATAAATTGGCTCCTAGATCTAATAACATTTGTGTCTTCCTTGGATGTTCTTAAACTCACTAAGGATACAAATGTCTTCCTTGGAAAGTTGGCCTCGTCGAATGCAAACGTGAATTTTGATGATTTGTCCTTAACCTATCAAATCCCTATCTCTTAAACACTTCCCACTCCTCTCACCTCCAATCCTCATCTTCTAACATGAACATTTCAATACAGCCAACTTTCCAACAACCCACACTACATTTAGTATTCACCTCATAACTCTCCAATTTTCCCTCCCATTCACAGACTATCCAACATTCCTTTAACAACGTAGTCTTCCCCCGCCTCCTCTTCATCTAACCGGAAGTAAAATCTCCCAATCCCACTGGCCACCACATGCTGACCATATTCAAATTTGGTTCTCTTAATTCATGTCAAATCCTAAATCTCTTACACTACACAACCATTCCAAAAAACCCATCCTTCTTCAAAGAAAGCATGGAGATGAGCTATGTCGGAGTAGTTTCTTTCCTTTCCACAACTAGGTACTTGTCAACTAGTGCCACCTCCCCCTCACCAAACAATCCTAGGCAGTAGATGGATTTGCTGGACAAAGCATAATGCCGATGGCTCAATTGTTTGATATGAAGTCCGACTAGTTGCTCAAGGCCATCAACAAGAACCCAACCTAGACTACAAAGAAATGTTTAGTCTTGTTGCCAAAATACCTTTGATATATCATCAACAAATTAGCTTGATCGGACACGAATCTCGAGGCAAAAATCAAGTTGGAAACTTCAAAAATTAAATATGGGATCATTTAAACTCCGATTTCAGCAAACTTATAGTCGAACTGATCGTCTCGAAAATATGAACCCAACGACATCAAATTCAACTCAATCCGAGCCCAAATGAGTCCAAATCAAGGACCCGAAGTGCTGTTGGAAGGTTTAAATCACAAATTGGATTACCAAACGGTTTCCAAACATGACATGCTTATATTCGAATCGAGCGGCTAAACGAAATGAATCCAACAAGCCCAACATCGCCGAATTCCGATATCATTAAGACCTTCAAATGTCTGATGAACGGTCCATGATCAAGGGATTCAATATGGACCGTTCATTCGAACCACTCCACATTTTCCCTTGATCCTCCTATTTACGGATCATGCCACTATAAAAAAACTATAAATAGTCCCCTCATTTCTCTTGAGAGGGGACCCAAGCAAGAAGAAGAAGAGAAGCAAGAAGAGGAGAAGAGAAGAAGAATAGGAGGGAAGAAACTCCTCGACCACCATCAAAATTCTGCCTGACCTCCAAGTGACGTCAAAATTTCGCCCGACCTCCAAGTGACGCCCGAGTTTCACCTGAACTCCAAGTGACGCTGGAGTTTTGTCCGACCTGACGCTGAAGTTTCACCTGAACTCCAAGTGACGCCGGATTTCTGTCCAACCTTCAATTGATGCTGAAGTTCCTCCCGAACTGCAAGTGACGCCAGAATTTCGCCCGACTTCCAAGTGACGCCGGAAATCCGCCTGGCCTCCAAGTGACGCCAGAATTCTGCCCGACCTCCAAGTGACGCCGGAGTTTCACTCGAACTCCAAGTGATGTCAGAGTTCTGCCCGAATACCATCTAACGTCAGAGTTCTCCTCGGTCGCCAACTGACATCGAATTTTTACCTGACACCGGACCTCCGCTCGTCACCAAGTTTCTATTCGACGCTAGACTTCTGCCTGTTGTCGTACTTTCGCCGGACATCTAGCTGATGCTGGATTTCTATCAATTGTTGGATTTCTACCTGACGCCATCTTTCTAACCTCCGTCGCTCGCCTACTACAGTCTTTCTGACTTTAGTCGCCCACTGACACAGTCCTTCCGATCTTCATCGCCCGCCGACTACGATCCTTCTGACTTACGTCGCCCACCGACTGCAGTCCTCCCGACCTCCGTCGCCCGCCAACTATGGTCCTTCTGACTTACGTCGCCCATCAACTACGGTCATTCTGACCAAACGAACATGTCAATAGTGATTCTTTGTATTCACATTATGTAATGTACTCAGTAAGATGTACATCAAGCTAAGGCCTTCCCCCAAGGAAGGGCCTCATTTGTAATCAACTGCAATAATAATGGATTCATTCAAACTGGGCAAGGCCCCGTGGTTTTTCCCCCTTTTCAGTGGTTTTCTACGTAAAAATCTTTGTGTCTCATAATTGCTACACCCTCTCTTTATTTGTATGCGTACCATATTTTCGTACAAAGTTAAGACGTTAAACTTTATATTTCTCTACTGCTGCGAATACTCCAGGACGCAACAACCTTCAATCCGCATCTTCCTCACAGTGGCTCTCAACCAACATTGGCCAATACACCAACTCGAAGTCTCTAACATATTCTTACACAACAAGTGCAATGAAAGAGCCTGCATGACATAACCAAAAGTCTTTTAAGATCCCCAACATCCCAACCCTCATTTGTTTAATGCATTTGGTTTGTCCTTTTTAATGATGGAATTAACGTAGACATGAACTATACCACTAACTTAGCTAACCCAGGAAATTTTTGAACTGTGTTGCTGTTGTTGCAGTTGGATTGAATTAGAGGATTGGGTTCTCTTTTGATATTAGTAATTTCTTTGTCAAATTATATTTTATAATGTTTATTAGCCATACAAATGGGGTTCTCGTTTAATTTTCATATTTATGCAGAGGTGCGGCTCATATGGTTATATGTTCATTGGGTTTCTGGTTTTGAGTTGTTGTCACGTAAAATTTAACATTCATTATATGGTAAAATTTAGTGGGAGCTGAGTATATTCCATTCAAAAAATCAAAAGGGACATTCAAGCATAAGTTCTCTTAGTGTTTGTAATCTTTTTTGAACATAAATCTCAACTTTATTTATTTATTTATTTCCTCTTAAGTTATTCTCTTTTTTGTAGTGTTAAATGTCTGTCTCATCTAATTTCAAACAAAATCTGCTCTCTTTTCAAAATTTTAATTCAGTAGTGTTTTGAACTCGATTTAAAATTTTAGGACTCATTTCATGAATATAATTTGCTAATTCAGAATATAAATAAACCTCTATTTGTTCTCACTATTTTGACATTCTGAAAGCTACACTGATTTTGATGCCATCCTTATGTTCAGGACTACAATGTGCTAGATTATGATGAGAAAGTCGTGGATGGCTTCTATGATATATTCGGGCTTTCCACTAATTTGAACCATGGGAAGATGCCATCTCTTCATGATCTCCAAACGAGTATTGGGGATCTTGGTTTTGAAGTTATTATTATAAATCGTGCTGTTGATACTGCTTTGGTTGAGTTGGAGCAAGTTGCTCATTGCATTGCTTTGGGCGTACCTGCTACTGAGGTTATGCTTTTGGTGCAAAGAATTTCTGAGCTCGTTTCCCAGAACATGGGTGGGCCTGTAAGGGATGCAAACGACATATTAGCTCGTTGGATTGAAAAAAGTTCAGAGTTACGAACCTCACTCCAGACAAGCTTATTGCCCATTGGCTTCATAAATGTAGGTCTCTCTCGCCATCGTGCCCTTCTTTTCAAGGTTTGTCTTTCTAACCTAGTTATCCTAATGTCTGATGTTTTTGCTGCATTTGATATTCAGTGCAAATTTTTTGTTGCATGTTAGAAAATTGACATCGGCAATGGCATGGATTTGCCATTGATAGCTACGGCAAGTAATCTGCATTACCATGCACATAACAGATTATAACTGATAATGATGTGAAACATATCGGGAGTTACTTTAAGAAATTAAAGATAGCGAATTAACAAAGCGTTTCCACAATAAAGTTATTACTTATAGCAATGATTGATCCTTAGAATTCTTGTTTTTTAACTTGCTTAGGCAAAGAAGAGCAAAGCCGATTCTCAAACAATTCAAGAAAACACAAAGAACAATTGTAAAACTACGACGATACACCAGAATCCATGATTTAATAATGAGAACTTTCACCTTTGGAGCCCATACTCTCAACTAGTCTAGGCTTTAGCGGAAGAAGAGTCTCCACATTAGAACCGAGGTCACTCCGAGGAAGAAGGAGCTTAAGATCTTCGTTCTTGGATAGATGGCCGGAGTGGTGGAGGATGACGGTCGTCCAATGATGATCCAATGTCCCTTTGATCTTTGCTCGTCGATCACATCAACTAATGTGTAATGGATACGGTCGATGTAATCTTCAATCGTGTCGTTGAAATCAAAGTCCACATCAAAGAACGGTGATTGGAGGATGTCAACTTGATCTCGCTCGTCATGTACGAATCCAAAGTTCCATTCAAATTCGGGGTCCGCCATGCATGGTGGGATCTAGTGGGGAAGACAAAAGAGGGAGGTGGGAGAGGGGGCCGTGAGCTAGGGAGAGAGTGGTCACGGGTTTGAGCTAGGGGAATTCGGTTATGGTGGGGGTCAAATGGTAGAGTGCAGGAATTCTGAATTAATTTCAGAATTTGGGAGGTTTAATGGTGGGAGTTAATTTGAAATTCAAATTAAATCAAGGAGGGAGGGGGGCCGGTAAAGAGAGGGGAATTTGGGGCTGAATTTGTGGAGCTATTAAGGTGATTAGGAGAGAGAGAGGAGGCAATTAAGGGGGCCAGCTACATGAGGGGGAGAGAGGGGTGAGTTTTGGAATAAGTGGGGACCACCAATTTAATTTCAGATTTTTACAAAAATCTGAAATAAATTTTCAGTTTTCTTAAGGAGAAAAAACTTCCATTTAGGAGGACAATCAATTTAAGCAATTTGGATTTCAAAATTGAAATTGAAAATCAATTAAATTGACGGCGTAAATTAAGGAGCTACTTTAGGAAACAATTAATGACCCCTAAAACATTTGAATTTCAAATTTGAAATTCAAGGAGAGGGAAGCCGGCGGCTAGAGGAGGGAGGAAAGGGGCGGCCACGGTGTGGAAGGTGGCTGGCCGGCGGGAGGCAGTGGCCTGGAGGTCGGCGGCCTGAGCGGGAGGGAGGAGAGGTGGTAGAAGTGCTGGGTGGAAACGGGTGAGGGGATGGAGTTCAAGGAAGAATGCGATCCGGACGGATTCTCCTTGAATTCTCACACTAATTGATAGCAAACAAAAATTCCAGGAAGCTCTAGAACTCACGAAGGTCTAGAACTCACAAAGAGATCTAGCTCTTCCCAAAACTCACTAAGAGATTTGGGAGAGGGATGCACTCACAAAGAGAACACAAAGTAAATTTTCATTTCATCAAAAAACTCTCATTACATGAGAAAAGGGCCATATATATAGGCCTCAAATGACAAAGAAAACAAAAGACTAAAATGCCCCTTGGGCTACAATAGCGATTAAATACCCATGAGGGCAAAAGCGGAAAAACATAAATAATAAAATAAACTACTACATAAAATGACAAAAAATACAGCTCATGATCGTGGCCGTCGATCTCCGGCGTCTCATAATGGTACATGTGTCGAAGTTGCTGACGATGTCCTCATCAGATAAGAATAAAGGTTTCATTGATATAAGATACAATATTTATGCCAATCTCTATATCATACTGATTTATATTTTTTTTTTTTACATTTTTGAGGAGGATAACTATTGTCGTGCTGTGGGAAGGGGCCTATATAGAAGGTCACAGGAATAAGTGCAACGTTTTTTTATTGTAAAAACTCCTTTGTGTGTTTTATTTTTTTGTAGCAACACTTTAAATCAATGCATGCTATGATGCATTGACACATATACAATATGGACATGAGATATTCATATTATTAAAATATATGACACAAACACATATTGGATATAATTTTACTATGCAAATATCTTAAAATAAAAAACCATGATGGGTAATTACACAAATTAAATAAACATAAAATGCATACAATCTAATTCATAGAGTGATAAATTTTTTGATGCACATAATAAATTTAATTAAAAAAGAGAACCTAAAAAAAATTAAATTTTAAAGGCATATTTCACTTTTCTCTTTCAAAACTAAAAGCCTCTTATTTGTTTTTGACTCTTTCTTAGTTCCTTCATTTTCATTATTGATATTTCACTTAACCCATAATACGCATGTCAAATATATATTTTTATTTATTCATTATTTTTTAATCAGACACATAGACGATGTATTTGACATGTGTTAGACATGTGTCGTATTCTGCATATGAAAAGAAATTGCTTGAAAGAACTGAAGTGTGAAAAGAAATTGCTTGATGATACGCACGAGGACTTATGATAAATTACTCAAAAAGTGTAGATTTGTATTTTTAGTAAATTGATACACCTATATGAAACTAATGTAAACTTGAGAAACTAAAGGCGGCATTTTGCAAGCAAAACATCTGATTCAAACTTGCTGCACTTAGATGTCATTTAAATTTAAATTTATCTTATGCTGTGAGATGACCTGCTAATACTAGTTTCCAGAACCATGAAATGTACTATGCTTGAATTCCAGATTATTGAGACTAGAAAATTGTATCTAGTTGTTTTTTTGTAATTACAAATTTCTCAGATCCTTTTACAGCCCCATGTAAAATAAATGACCAATTGTATTTACCTTAAGTAGCCTATAACGTAGTGATAGGTGCATTGTTGAATTCTATTTAGTTAGGAACATGGATACTTGTGATACATCATGATTTAACTGAAATAATTGCATTTGAAGGATATAAAGCTTATTATTTTTTATGCTTTCAGTGACGATGCCATGCTACTATATGCCTTGAACAAATGTTGTTGATATGTGCCATTATTCATCTTCAACTCCTCAAAATGCAGGTTCTTGCTGATAATATTGGCATTCCTTGCAAGCTAGTCAAAGGAAGTCATTACACAGGGGTTGATGAAGATGCTGTCAACATAATAAAGTATGGTGATAACAGGTAAGTGCTCATATGAGTAATAGTTTCTCTTGTATGCTGTCTTCATTTGTGTTTCTTTTTGCTAATTACATGTTATTTAATTTTTAGTTGCGTTTTTATTAAGTTATATATTCCGCACAATTCTCCCAATAATATAAGCAAAAGGGAGTGCCATTTTTTTCCCAAACTGCAGGATTGCATATTTAAGTGTTTCAAATTGTCATATCTTTATGAATGAACTATGATCTCATATTTAGCGTGCATCATACAATAAGTTCTCAAATGCTGTAATTTTTCACTAGGACATAAAACCCGAGTTTTATTTGTTGTTTATCGGTCTTATAAGCATTTCATAAACTTTAAACTTCTAGTTTTTAATCTCTTTTATGAGGTTTTAGGTTGGATGATAATCTTTCTTACTTTAAGGAAAATGACTAGGCTATATGGAGCTTAGCAATGTTTTGTGATATTTTGATGATAAAATTTGTGTGTGATGCACTTGAAATCTCTGATATGCTCGTTGTTTTAAGTTGGAGGGTAATAGTTTTCCTTGTATCTAACCAGTAGAACTGTTATGTACAGCCTTTAGTTGTTAACCAATACATGAATTAGAGCATTCAAAAGAACTTCAACACTTTTTGCAGTTAAGATTCATATGCTATTCCTTTTATATTTCATGCTTGTATGCAAGTTTTGTTTCATTCCTCATGACTTTTTGTTGTTTTGCACTATGAGGAAAGTCCTCATGGAATTGATATTTATCAATTGGAGGATTTCCTATCAGATTAATGATAAAAGAATCATCAATATGTTAATTAACTAAATTATTGTGAATGGAATAGAAAGATAAAAAAAAAGTTGGCCAAAAGTAAATTGCTAGAATTGGTATTAAAACTTTTGCAAACTAGATTTTACATGTCATTTAGCATTGGATGAGAATGGAGTATTCATCAAGCTACCTCAATGAGATAAGGCTAATGATGATGGCATGACAATGCATTCATGTCTGCTCCATGTTGGATTTTGCACACTTGGTGTTGATGAGCATGGCTAGAAGAAGGGAATTGTAAGACATTTCTCCAAATGTTCAACTCAATACTAGTTAAGTTAGCTTTCATATTGACATGCTGTTAGTTGCTAGCCATGGTATGTGGTTAAAATGTTATATTTTTTTGAAGGTGAAATTCTCGTTTTTGATTACATTTATGTTTGCCTATGATGCGCTAATACATACATGATATGAATGATTGAAAATATAGGACACAAATATATATTGACATTACATTAATATAATACACACTAAAAGTATGTTATAGAAATTGTAAAATTAATTAAACATGAAATATATATATATATATATATATAATTCTATTAATCACAATTAAAAATTTTGATTTTTTAATTAGAAAATAAAAAATTTCATATATAATTTTGAACGATTATATGATTACATTAAATGTAAAAAGATTAAAATTTTTTCCTTAAAAAGATAAATTAATTTCCATGCTTTTCAGTTATAAAAAAATGGTAGAAGGATTTAAATAAGTTTCAATAAAAATGGTTTTGCTGAAAACAGTATGATATACCATTAGGGGCAAAAATATAGTGATTTTGTCAATTGAAATATATGAAAAACAAGCAAGTAACGAAACCAAATCCTGAGAAAACTCAAGCATGTGTATCCAAATCTGCAAAATATTATCAAATATTTCAAAAATATTTGGATTCATTTAAATTTATCTTTAAAATCTAATATAGTTAAAGTATTTATTTTTAAATAGTTGGACAGTGGACCGGTCTAACAATACTCCCCTCCCAAAGATCCACCTTGTCCGCAAGGTGGAAAGACGACACCCTCCATTCCTTCTTCATCACAAACAGTAAGAACCTGAAGAGTTCGGTCCTTACACCTGAGCCTCGGCGTATACCTCTCGTCACATCTGAAACAAATCCCCTTTGCCCTCTTCTCTTGTAATTCTGTCTCGGTGAGCTTCTTGAAGTTGTCCCCACTCCCTCCTCCTGGCTTCTCCATGGTGGTCTCATTAATGTTGCCTGATGTAAGCCCCTTCGGTGCTAAAAGAGCGGTCATAGTCTTGTAAGAGCCTCCTGAGCTGCTGCTCCTGGCTCCCTTATCCAGATTCTTCTGATTTTCTACCAGCTGTGCCAACTTCATTGCCTCCTCCAAGTCACTAGGCATCAGAACTTTCATTGCAGCTCGGATCTCTGCTTTCAACCCCTTCATGAAGTTCCCCTCCAATATGATATCTGATAATCGCTCCACCCTACTAGCCCAGTGCTCGAACCGCTAACGGTAGTCTGCTACTGATCCCTCCTGCACCAGAGCAAAGAACTGCTCATAAATATCTCCTCCCCGGTCGGTTTGGAAACGTTCTATTATGCAGTCTTTGAATTCCCTCCAGTTCCTGATAGGCCTCTTATGATCTCTCCACTGATACCACGATAGGGCTTTTCCTTCCAAGCACAATCCGGCTGCGGTTAGCTTCTCCTCCTCCGTCAGCCCATTGATGGCGAAGTATCGCTCCACCTTATAAATCCACCCATACGCATCTTCTCCTTCAAATATGGGCATCTTTAACTTCCTCACCTTCTGGTCGCCCCCATTGCCCCGGATTTTTCCATAGTTTCCCCTCTCCCAAATGCTAGGTGCACCCCATGTTTCCCGATCTTCCCTTGCTCTACCATAGCCCAAACCCCCTTCGAAATCCCCCATTCTGTCTTCAAAATCAGCAACTCGACGACCATAGTATCCCTCGTGGCGTTCCCCATATCCACCCCCTCTTTCTTCCCTATGGACAGGTTCCAAATGGGGCCTTCTTCTTCCTCCTTCCATGATTTCCACCTCATCTTCCTCCCTACGAATTTCCGAATTCGTACTTTTGCCTTCCCCTCTTGCCACGGAAGCCGCCGTTTGATTTTGAATTTCTAACATCTTCTTCATAATGTCTCGGAGATCGGCGACTTGTCCTTCCATGGAGGAAATCCTTTCCTCCACCGTCGTTTTGATTTGATTCATCTCCCCTTCAAGCCTTTCCTCAAGAGCATCCACCTTTTTGGCCGCCATCACAATCCGGAGTTTGTAAAAGTATAAATTCTGGATTTGGAACTTCAAAAACAGCAATTCCCCTTCCTTCCGGGCAATTAATCACCACTGAAATTTGCCGAAATCAGCCCTCCACCGGTCCCACGACTTGCTCTGATACCAATTTGATAGGAAACACTTGTAGATCTCAAGTATTTCCTATCAATCTTCGAAAAACAGCGAGAATCCTTCACAAAATCCACACAAAACCACAAAAACAGTAGATAATTTGTATTTTTTTGATGAAAGGAACAAGGAAAATAGCAAGATACACTTGATCCTCAATTCGAGAGGAGGATCGATCTCTCCCAAATCTCTAGATGTCGCTAGAGCCCAAAGAAAACCTAAATATAAGAGATATCAAATTTCAGCCAAATTCAAGATATGTCGCTAGAGCCCAAAGAAAACATAAATATAAGAAATCAAATTTCAGCCAAATTCAAGATGCCCTAACCCTTAGGAAAACAAAGTATTTAATGCATACAAATCAAAAGGAATTCCCTAAACAGTCCCTACATTCAATTTCCCTCCTAATTTTCCTCAAAATTCCTTCCTAAAATGCTCCCGCAATGCTAGCGGCTCGTGCGGCCTCCACCCAGGCAGACAAATTTTGGTGTTTCGCCCTTAAACCGGTCCCGCCTTCTAGTCCAGTGGACCGGTCTAACACATAGATGCTTACTTTTCTAATGATTTGTATTGTTGGATCTGTCAATATTTATATTTGATAATTACAATTTTAAGAATATATCATTTTTTAACTCGTGTCTTCCTGTTTGGCTGTTTGGCAATAGGGAGTTTTTGGTTGATCTTATGGCTGCCCCTGGCACCCTTATTCCAGCCGATGTGCTTAGTATGAAGGATGCTTCGTTGATTTCCTATAATCCACTGCTGACTCAAAACATACTTAATAGGGCAATAGATAATTCAGGTGATGGTTTTCCAGAAGGTAAAAATAGATATTGTAACTTGGATGGAGATAATAATTTTGATAGAAGGGCAAGCTCTGAAAAATCAGTGTTACTACCATCTGTGCTGGGAGAATCATCAACAAGTACTGCAAGCAATTCAACTGGAAATAAAGAAAGTTTTTATTTACATGGATTTTCAAATCTATTGCTATCTTCTTTTAGTGAAGCTTCAAAGCAGGAAGATTATAAGGTTCATGAATTTGCTTTTATGAATGAAAAGCCTAAAGAACCGAGATCGGAAGATGCCTTGAACTCAAGAAGGCTTTTTGCTGAGCTTAATCCATTCCAGGCTCTTGGGGTTGGCAAACATTCTACAGTATTCGAACTTGATGATAATAAAACTAATGAATATCAGAGATCTAGAGAACCAGTTGCTTTAGGACCTGGAAGGCCACAGCATCAGTCACCCCTAGTTCGTAAAAATCATTCTCCATGCAATGACGTTTCAAGCATGAAATATTTCAACTTTTCCGAGGAAATTCCAGGGAAAAATCTAGAATATAGAGATCTTAATTCATCACGTTATACATCCACCACAACTGGGGGCTCTCAGGCCAACCCTATTTCATGTTCTGGTATCTCATGCTCAGTCAGTTCTAATGATAGTTTCAGAACTCCTGATTGCTCGTCTGGAGCTTTTAACTTTGGTTCTGGAAAGAATGGTAAACTAGGGATTAGAAGTGTTGAACCTCCAGAGGATAAAGCACTTATCCCAGTTCAATTTAAAAAACATGGTTTGGCTTTGCATAACAATGTCATTCATGAGGCAAAGGAACGTGACAAAAATATTAATGCCAAGCGTGACAGAAGGTTTTTACATGATAAATTTATGGACAGAAATATAGCGTCAATGGATACAGTTCCATCAGCACCTAGTGCATATGATAGATTTATTGGTGGTGATAAGGGATTGCAGGATGCAGATCCATCATCATCTTTGTCTCCATCCAGATCAAGCAGGATTGATCCAATGCTTGATGATGTAGCTGAATGGGAAATTCCATGGGAAGATCTTGTAATTGGTGAAAGAATTGGATTAGGTAATTCTAGTAATCCTTTACTAAGTTTTATTATTTGTAAAATGTAGTGAGAACAAGTGACATTTTAGACATGCAGGTTTTTTTTGGAACCTCCATTCACATTTTTTAGATATGAGCTCAAGTTCCAAACACTTCAATAATCTATAGAAGTTCATTTTTTTTATCAAGTGAAGCAATTCCATTCACAATTTTTTAAACATGTGCGACTGCTTGGTGCCAGAGCCTGTCTAGCGACAGCTCCAATACCAGTCTCTACATGAAACTGAACAAAAACAATTTCATCTAGTGAAGGAGTTAGCTTGTAACCTTATGATTATTTTCAAAATTACATTATCTTAAGAAACATGATAGATAACGTTTTCCTTATGAACAGGTTCATATGGAGAAGTCTATCGTGCTGATTGGAATGACAAAGTGAGTATCATTTATAATTCAATTTCTTGTCTGATTATCCTTATAATGCATTGTTTCATGTTTTTTCTTTCTTGGTAGTTCATCATATTGTGAGTAAAAATGGTTTCAGATGAGCAAAGAGAAAAACCATTAATCAGTTTGTTTTTAACCTTTTAGCAATTATATACCTTAACACCCCACAATACCCCTTAACAATATTGTAAAGTGCCACCAAAATAAATATAATATTTTTCATCATTTTTAACATATGATACTTTTCATCACTTAAATATATATGTAAAACATAAAAAAATATTACATTTACTACATAAACAGAAGCATCTAATAAATTCAATTACATTAAATAAATACTTATAGAGTCACTAATACAATCCCAAAATATTACACCACTGAATTATCTACATACCTCAGTTGTAGACTTACAAACATAGCTAAACACTATTATATAAAATAAAATAACTTACAAATTATTCTTCATCGACATTTTTCTTTCATTTTCATGTACCAATAGCCAGTATGAAAAGAACTGATGAACTATGAGGCTTAATAAGTTATGCAATTTAAATAACAGTAAAAATTGCATAATTATAAAAAATCACCACATTGAAATCATAAATTAAATAAACTTGACATTGTGTATAAAACAACATAAAATCACATTTGACATCAACATTTACTTCATCTGAAGTCTATACTGAATATCAATTTTAATCTTGTAAAGATTCGGCTAAACTTTTATAAGAATATTCAACGGAGCCCTTGTAAACATTGTTTTATCGTCATTGAATTATATAAGATTCATTTTGCCTCTTTAGGGGTCTCCTTTACCCCATATGTTATGCATATATCGTGTATTTGGGGTCTCTTTTGGCTCATTTACAATGCAGTGTTATACGTGAGGATCCTTTTGCCCCACCTGCAATTGTAAGTTGTACATCATTTTGTAACAAAACTTTACTAAATTGACATTCATTAAACTTCACATATTCATAGTTCATACTTGTATTGTTGCATGTTTTCATAATAATCTTTATGTTATCTATTTATGTAAAGAAATTGTGTATGCCATATATAAAGAATGAAACTTCTTTCCAAGATTTTTCCAACTAGTAAAATCTTTAAATAAAAATAATAACTTTTATTTGAAAATCCATGATTCAAATATATAAGAGGTCATTCATACATGAAAATTTGGCTATGAACATCCTTTAGCAAAATAATTAACTTTAATACATATTTCCTTTTTAATTAATTTAATTACAAATATACATGTATAAATTAACAACAATTGCCTTTTAAAATTTAATTTTCATTACTTATTTTTTTGACTAACTGTCTCTTCCAATTTTACACCACACAATCTTTTCCTTTGATATATTCTCTCAAAACCTTCTTTCTACATATATCTGATTAATCCTCAATTCGTTCCTTTCCTTCAATTCTTTATTATTCCCCTGTAAATAGAATGTCTTCACTAAATTCCACTCTCAATTACAGCTGTAGAAATCAGTCGATCTTAGCAATATACTCAAACAATTCTTTGCAAATCTTACTACATTTAATTGCAAGTTTACTTACCTAAATTTGTATTATTATCTGATTTTCCATTTGCATTCAACACTTCCTCTGCCGAATATGGATACTTCCCTTAATGACAAACTCATTTCAATTTCAACCAATTTCCATTCATAAAAAAAATATAAAAATTTCTGTTAAAAAATTTACTACCTGCAGCCGAGCCCTTCTTCTTCAACAATTCAACAAATTATTGTGCAGAATGCACTCTGCAGACTCCCATAATTCACTGTGCCGAACAGCTACAGGAATTTCTGCGAATTCCTCTACAGTCCCGCAGGCACTGTACCGAACTCACTTTTTTTTGCACTGTTCCGAACACTCCACAGTGGCTGCTTGCATGAATTCTGAACAAATGTTGGGATAAAGGAGTGGATCCAATGCTATAACTTCTCTATCCTCAAACAACCCAAAGGAAACATCTATTCATAACATTAATTTCCATAATAACATCGCTTAGAATTTTTGTTAATATTAATTTAACAGTACTTAATCGGTAAGTAAAAATTAAATTATTTTATTGTGAATTATAATAAAAAGTACTAAAAATTTTAAAATAAATAACGGATTGAATTTCTATTACTGAAATTTCTGGTTATTACGTTTACTTTGTTTGGTAGACAAGTGCAGCCAGTGTTCAAAAGCATAGATTTTTTATGTCGTGGCTGTGTTAAATGAGATTTGAAATTTGGTCATGTTATTGAAGTCTACCCTTTTAAATGAACTACTCTCTGTTGTCTAATTGCTCAAAAAATGCAGTTTTGTCCCTCCTTTCCACACAAAAGGTCTCAACAAAACTTACAATTGAAGTGACTCTTAAAGCCTTTAAACATCTAAATATGGTGTTTAGCATAACATCCTATATATCAGAACCGAAATTATACTTTATACTATATGTTAAATCTCAACCTTACGATCCCAAAGATATCCACGGCTGTAAACAGTAATCCGTGGGAAGACTACATGGATTGCATTAATTCCTCCCATTAATTTAGGAATAATTATATTCATGTTATTATAAGAGTTATTTGTTTATCGATACACCTTGTATAGATCTATAAATAGGGAGTAGATTGCTTAATAAAATTCAAGCTTTTCCTCTCAAACTCTCCGATTTAACATGGTATCAGAGCCAACGGCCTTAATTGCCGTCCGAGAACGATCCTAGATCGTCGAAAGAAAAAGTGAAAAACAAAACTTGTGCTGAAAAAAAGAGAAAAACTAGTACTGAAACAAACCTAGTAAGAAGAGCCAATATTGTAAGTAAAGTTGCTACTGTAGGCAAAGCCAACATTGAAACAAAACAATAGTGCTGGTGTCGAGGAAGTGAAGTGTGCAAAAATACATAACTGCTACCATAACCCCACTAAGCTAAGCCCTATAGGTCACTGCTAATATAAGTAGTAAATCTCACTGATAACCATTTCACTAAGTAAATCTACTAAGTGAAGCAATGAACACCTAAAATTAAAGCCAGACAACTTTTAATAGAGGTCGTAAGTCCGACTTCAGTTAATGCATTAGGAGAAGTTTCTAGGTAAAAGTAATCTACCCCTAAATCCCATATACAAGCAATTTCTAAGTGAAGCAGTAAGACCCACATACTAGGAAAAGTTCAAAATGAACAACCATAAACCTAAACCAACAAGATACTTCCAAGGGAAGCCATAAAACTTGTTGTACGAGCAACTCTCAAGCAGAGTCACAAGTCCCAACCCAAACAAAAAATGTCGTAACATTAAAATTTACATATATCCACTTTAGTTTATTTGGGATCCCTAAGAGGAGGCAACCTATGACTGCTAATCAGATTCCCTGGATACTACAATCGATGATTGTTAGTGTTGGTAGACTAAAACCTACTATATTCTCGGGATGTTGGGATCTTGATTAGGTCTATCTTCATCCCCCATAAACAAGATTAAAACACTTGCACATCTAAACATTAATTCATCATTAATTGAGATTCTCTTCTATGTGGTAGAATGGGTAATTAATTATGAGGGTTTGCGCTCATAGGAAGAAGGACTCATGTCTTAATAAACCCTGATACCATCTTCAGGGAAAATCTGGTTAACTATAATCTGCCTTAAGGAGGATGAAATCCTATGGTTACAAAGCGGGATTCATGCCTACGCGCCATTTTCTCCGAGTGGACATTGGGCTAGATGAATAGTGCTCATGTTGTTACTATGCAACCTCTCATTCCTTTACCTTTTGTCAAGTTCTATTAAGAAATTTTGCAATTGTATCATCTCTTTACTAGTCTCAATAATAGCAATATACTTAGCTTCTGTGGTTGAGAGCACAACAATCTTCTTTTAATTTGAAAACCTAACTCACTGCAGTCTTTTTTAAAGTGAAGATATAACCAGTTGTACTTTTCCTACCATCAAGATCTCTAGCAAGATTATGTTAGGCCGGTTCACCCTGAACCGACCCAGTCGGCCCAAGGGCTGGCTCAAGTTTATAGGAGGCGGAACATGTCCACCTCCTTTACTCTTGCCCGCCCACATGGTGGGCCCCAACTTGCCTAATGGATTTGAAATTCAAAAGGAGGGGGTAGCTAGGTCTTGGGAGGGATATTAGATTAGGAAAGTGTTTGTATTAAGAGCAAGAGATTCTTAGGGAAGGGGATGTTTTGATTTGTTCTCAATTAAGGTTTCTTGGTGACTTGGGCTCTAGACTCTCTTGTCTAGAGATTTGGGAGAGACGATCCTTCTCTCGAATTGAGGATCTCTTCTATCATGTTTTCCTTATTATTGGGCTTTGATTTTCATACTGCAATATATTGTTTTGGGCTGTTTTCACCCAGATTTTGTGTTGTCCTCACTGTTTTTCATCAATTGGAGATAGGTTTGCTTGCGAACTCAAGTATTATCCTTAGGGTTACTTGCGAACTCAAGTATTTCCTATCAGATCACAATCCCTGCATCTTCGAAGCAAAGAGTTAGATTGCTGATATAAACATGGAAGATCACCAAACTCCTATAGATAATTTTTTTAAAAATTCTGTTCGCATTCTTTCACAGTTTTGTCATCTCCCTTCCACCTGCAAAACAAGAAAAAGGAAGCCAACAGTAACCAAACCTACAACAATTGGAAATAATGCAATCAATTTATTTCCTTCTTGTTGTCCAAAAAAAAAAAAAAAAGGAATGCGTTCTTCCTTTGTCCTGCAGAAACTAGCTACCTGGTTGCTTTCTAGACCCATTGCCGGTACCTAACAATAGGAAATGCTTGCTTCCGATTTCAGCAACTCCTAGAATAGGAAAACCAGACTATGCTGGACCACTAGAGACAATATTGTGGTTGGGTGATTGATCATGGCAAAATTCTGGACTCCGCTAGGATATTCTTCTCTCTTTCCTTCTCTAGAGTTAGGGGAATCCATCTCCAAAGCAGATAAATCGTTCCCAAACAAATATATGACTTGAAATAACTTTCCAAAAACCTACTTCTAACATGAGGTCAGTTATTTATAGAAAAATGCATATTAACTCCTATGCCACCTAATTATTACATTACCCATTCTAGGGAAATTTTTAAAGGATTCATGTCATGATTATTCGACAAGTTTTACGTTGGCTGTCGACTACCTAACGCAACCCTTCACTTTTCTCATCCAAAACTTGGGACCTGTCAACGACAGTGTTAAAACTAGAAAGGGAGTTGAAGGTAAACTTGAATTATGGAGGTCAACCTTAGAGTCTAAACGTTTTCTCTTGAGTAGATTTAAAACTGAATATACGGAGTGTAATTTTAGTAGCAATAGATCTAGTAAGGGGATTGTGACTTTCGACAATCAAGTCATTAATAAGAGTACACGTTTTAGATATCTTGGATCTATTGTTCAGAGTGATGGTGAAATAGATGAGGATTTTATCAGCAAAATTCAAGTTGGAAGGTTGAAGTGGAGGAATGCATCGGGCTTGTTGTGCGATAGAAAAGTCCCCCTCAAACTTAAGGGAAAATTTTATAATATGGTGGTGAGACCTGTAAGGCTTTATGATGTTGAATGTTGGCCATTAAAAGAGAAGCATAATACTAAGTTAAGTGTTGTAAAGATGAGGATGCTTAGGTTGATGAGTGGCTTTACCCTTAGAGATAGGATACGAAATGAGCATATATGTGAAAAGGTTGGAGTAGTTCCAGTGGAAGATAAGATTAGAGAGAGCCGTCTTAGATGGTTTGGTCACATTAAGCGGATGCCTTCCGATGACTCGGTTAGGAAAGTTGAGGTATTAGATTTGACTTATGTTAAGAAAGGTAGAGGTAGATTTAAAAAGACTTTGTTAGAAAATATTAGAAATGATCTTTCTTTATTAGATTTAAATGAGAATTTGACTTTTAACATAACACTATGGCGAAAAAGGATTCATGTAGCCGACCCCACATAGTGGGACAAAGGCTTGATGTTGTTGTTGTTGCACCCCTTCTAGGGAATTAAGAGAAAAAATCCATCTATTTAATTTTTATAAATAGAAATGACCTTCTATCTCTATTTCATAGTAGGTTGATAGTATTGTAATATTAAATGTTTTGGTGTTGACCATTTCGTGCAAAATTCCTTTATGTTGAAATAAAGTTCTTTTGATCATCTCGATTGACTTTGGAGTACGAACAAAAATATATCTTCGACTAAGGGCATCAATTATTCTGTTTTGAACATCTGATTTATATTTCAATTTGTTTTGTAAAATTGAAAATAATTCAACACGCTTTATATGGCTATATTTGGTAGTAAAAACATCTTGGTATTGTTGAAATAAAGGTTGAACCTTTCCTTGCTATACACTCATCTTCTCAATTTTCTTCCAACTCTACAAGTGAATTCGTGGATGGGGAGTCTTGCACTGGAATGGTTTTCAGACCAATCACCTAAGTTCTTTCCAAGTTCAGTTGGTGACCTTCATAATCAGGTTCCCTTTGTTTACAGTGAAGCTGCAGTGAATTCAAGAAGAGAAATGGATAGATAATAATTTGATAATCATTCAAATAATGATAATATTTTTTTGGAAGAATACGGACAATGGAGAACCTGGTCAAAATGTATCTTGATTCAAGAACATAATAATTTCCTTCTAAGGGAATTAACTGAGTGGATGCTGTTATATTTTCCAAGTGTTGATGTCACCTCCAACAAAATTTCAATTCTTTCACAAGTGTCATCTCCATTCCACCTGCAAAACAAGAAAGGAGCAGCTAGCAGTGTCAAAAATGCACAACTAGAGGAAATAATACAATCAATTTAATGCATTGTTGATGTAGGACTATATGATAAATTGGAAACTTGCACAAGATAGTTTAAGAGCAATTTAAGATTTTAGTTATTCGTGATTAAAACAACAAGGTAAAACTCTTAAAGGTTCAACTCAGTTAGGCTAAGCCACACAATAGACGTAAGTTAAATCAAAACACGTAGGAAAACTAAAACATTGCATGCGAAGTAGTTTCCAACTTAACCAAGACTTAACAATGAAATCTAATAGCAAAGAAGTAACAAACCTACGATTGCTAATGGATGGCGATTAGTAGGCACAGTTTCTTGTTTGGACAAATCTCAATAAGGTAAGTAGAATTTGAAAAGTAAATGAATCAAGGACGAAGATCACCTTCTCGGAGAAATGACGTGAATTACTACAAACCTTCCCTTAGTTTCTCTTCCCTAGCCTTGATCACAATGAGTAGCAATTGGTAGGTGGTCTTCTCTTTGAATCACAATGGTTGGAGTCAATTCGATGAAGGCAAGTGAGGAGATCCGTGCAATTTTTAGCCTTGTACGCCAAAACCGGATTCAAACTCCGGATCGATCATCCATCTCAAATCAATGAAGGAGATACGCCTTGAGAGGGGGCGAAGAGAGAGAGAGGGTGGACGGGTGAGAGGGAGGAAGAGGCTAGGGTTATGAGAGAACTAATTGGGATGAAGAAAATATGTTGTAATCTTCATACTATAATTATTCTCAGATTTTAAGTAAAAGTGGAGGGAAATTTTCTGAAATTTGAATTTCAAATACATGTAATTAGGAGCCTTAATTTAGCATTCAAATGAGGGGGGGACCACCAAGGGGCCGGTGGCATAGTAAGGAGGAAGGGGTTTGGGGAAAGTGTGACGAGTTTCCTAATTCGCTCCAACGATTTAATGAAGAAAATTTCAAATCCGTTTCAATTCAAATTTGAAATTGAAACCTCATTGAAACTTTCCTAATTTGACACCGACAAATTTGGAAAATTTCACTCATCAAAATTTTCAAATTTCGAAATTTGAAAATACATGAGGTGGCGGCAAGGGGGGGTCGGCAATTACCGGGATTGGGGTGGTGGATGAAGAGGAGGACGGCGGTTGAGGGGATGGCCGACGGGATGAATGGGAGTGGGCGGGTTTTGGGGAAGAGGGGAATTTCGGTGGTGAGGTGAGGAGGTGTTGATTGGAGGTGGGGAAAGACCGGGGCGGACGTCGGGTAGGAGAAGACAAGGGAGGAGGATAAACCAAGAGCCACCGGTGGTGACTGTTGGGTACGACGGGTGGCCTCTCCTAGGCTCCACCAAACTCCAACTCTCAAGCTCCACACGAAAGCTTCAAGAAGGCAAAATGCAGGAATTTCTTTTCAATATCCTTCATTAACCATCAAAAGTATAAGATGAAGGCTATAAATAGCCTAATACAAAGACATAAAATAAAAGACTAAAATACCCTCGAGGGGCTACAAGACTCAATCCCTCAAGCAAGGGTAAAAATGGAAAAATGCAGAAATAAAAATACATCCAAATAAAATGACCATACTAAATCAGAAATACATCGGGTAAATCGTGGCCGTAGATCTACGGCCACGTCGACGGTAGACTTTCCAACTGATGTCCCCATCAATTGTTGCTGTCCAAATAAAAAACGGTAGACATTCTTTACTTTTCCATTGGAATCCTACAGAAACTAGCTATCCAGGTTACTGTCCAGACCCATTTCCGACACCTAACAGCAAGAAATGATTGCTGTAATTTCCAGCAACTTTTGGAACATCAAAACCAAGCTATTGTTGACCATCGGGGATGATATTGGGGTTGGATGATTGATTGTAGTAAGATCTTGGACTCCACTACAATCTTTTCCTTCTTTCCTTCTCCAAGTTATGGGAATCTACCCCAATACTGGGAAATCCTTCCAAAACCTTGATATAACCTGAAAATTAACTCTCCAAATGTCTCCTTCCTAATATAACGTTTGAGTATTTACAGGTAAACACCTATGAACTCCTAGACCATCTAAATACTAAAGTTCCTCTCCTAATTAAATAAAAGACAAGCTTACTAAGTAATTTTTCTAAACAGAAATGACCCTCGTATCTGTAACTATGTTAGATGATGTGATATTTGCATCTTTGAATAGTCTTATGTTAATATATATTTATGTAATTACTCATTTGCTTTACATTATTTGTTGCTTTAAACCTTTTGTACTATTCTTTTTGGATGCATGAAAATCCCTTGTGAATCTTGGATATCTAGTGGACTGTTATTAAATTCATTGAATGCATGTTCCTTCATTTTCTTTTCCCAATTTGTGTTCTTTGCTAGAATATGCACCTAGAGATTTCTGAGGCGCCATTTGCATGATTCTATTAATATGTATATTTTTGGTGGACTACAGGAAGTAGCGGTTAAGAAGTTTCTCGATCAAGATTTTTATGGGGATGCCTTAGATGAGTTTCGAAGTGAAGTAGGTGAACTAATATCAGTTGATATAAAAGATTGTAGCTTAAAAAATTATTTTATGCGGTTTTTACTACTTTTTTTTTTAATTTTGTTTGCAATGATGCGTTTTGAGAAAAGGATCAAAATGATCCTCTACTCTTTGAGAGGGGCCAAAATGGCCCAATTATTTTGAGGGACCAATTTGGTCCTCAACTCTTAAAAATTACTAAAATACCCTTTTAAAAATTTTGTTTGCAATGACGAGTTTTCTTGATGTTGTTTATTTATTTTATTAGGTGCGGATAATGCGTAGGTTGCGTCATCCTAATGTTGTTCTTTTTATGGGTGCCGTTACCCGACCTCCTAATCTCTCAATCGTCTCTGAGTTTCTTCCAAGGTAAGATTATTTCTCCTACTGACATCATCATATTGAGATTACTGTAACTGGGTGTAGTTAAGTTCCTTGATAATCTCTATGCAGCTTTCATCTTGTTGGATGATGATATGCATATTTTGGGTCTGACAGTATGTATTTTTTGGGTCCATCTTGAGGAAAATATTTCCATGCATGTTGAGTCATGGACATTTTTTCTCCCTTTAGTCTTCACAATTGAATTCCAAAATATTCTTTACCAAGTGGTTAAAAAAAAGGCCAATTTCTTTAATCTTGAAGTTCTTTTTAGTTGCTGCACCTCATATTTTTTTTTCCTTTTAGTTGCCAGTTCGTCTTGCAGATTCCTACATGTTGACAGGCTCTGTTTTTATCCTTCGATGAATTTGCTGCAAAGGAAAGACAAACTCTGCTGAACAGGCTTTTTTCTTTGAATCCTGTTGCAATATATTATAAAAAATATTTCAAAGATTTTGCAGTTTGAAAGTTCTGATAATTTGGTATTTTGTTGATAGCATACAAATCTTTGTTTTTGTTTTTTTATCTTTATTATTGTTAATTTTATCATTTATTTTTATTATATTCATTGGTCTTGATATCATTTGAATCCTCCATTTCAAGTATTTGTTTTTAATAGTTGCTGGCTTGTTATCCCTTTCCTAATTTAATAATTAGTGCTATTTTTATTCTATTTTTGTCTTAAAATCAAAGTTATACCTGAGACATAAATCTAATATCTGCATTTTTTTTTCCATTCAGAGGAAGCTTGTACAGGATTCTTCATCGTCCTAACTGTCAAATTGATGAGAAGAGGAGGATCAAAATGGCTCTTGATGTTGTATGTATGCTTTTTATTCTTCTCTCTGTTGCTTGCTCTTACACCCTTACTTAACAAGTATTTGTTTCTCTTATCCTCTTATTTTCCATTTACAGGCAAAAGGAATGAATTGCTTGCATACTAGTGCCCCAACAATTGTTCATCGGGATCTCAAATCACCAAATCTTTTAGTAGACAAGAACTGGACTGTTAAGGTATGGGTGCTCAAGTCAGAAATGTCGATAAAGATTTCTTGTGAACTTTCTTTCATGGATTAGCGTTAGTCTAACCTTTTGTTTTGGATATAAGTGTTGTAGAGATGAGGTTGCTCAAGAGGATGAGTGGCTTCACTCTTAGAGATAGAATGTGAAATAAGTATATATGTGAAAAAGTTAGAGTAACTCCAGTGACAGATAAGATTAGAGAGAATCACTTTACATGATTTGGTCACATAAAATATCAGCCTTCCGATGACCTAGTTAGAAGAGTAGATATATTAAATTTGGCCTATGTTAAGAAAGATAGAGTTAGACCTAAAAAAATCTTGATTAAAAAAATATTAGAAATGACCTTTCTTTAGTAGATTTAAATAAAAATTTGACTCTTAATATGACAGTGAATAAAAATGATTCATATAGTCAGCTGCACGTAGTGGGATAAATGCTTGATGTTGTTGTTTTGGCCTTCCTATAAACTAATCCATTGGTTCCTGTTGATTTTTAATTACGGTGATTCACTTATATGGGAAATAAATTAAGTGTCTTTTACTTGTGAACAAGTAAAAAAATTTGGATCATTCTAATATTATATTTGTCAAGATTGGCTTTAGCTTCTAACTGCCTAATCCTAAGATAAATATAGTTATAGTAAATTAATCAATGCATGCATGTTGCTTTTGAATATGAACTAGCCAATACCTTGTGCAAATACTACAACAACAACAACATGAAGCCTTTATGAAAGCATAAATATCATATAAAAAGTGATTAGAAGGGTTAAATCAATAACTTTTATTGCAAAAGAAAAGTGATGTAAATATAAATAAATGGGTACTTTAAAAATCATTCAACTTTATTTTACTTTATAATTTGGCCATGAGTCAAATGATAACTATGGGCTCCAAAAATTCGGCCCCAGCCTCCGCTCGCTTTTCTTTATTCGGCGAGGGAGTTTTAACGGAATAAGTTCCGAGGTAAATTTTGGAAGGCAGATGGGTTTGTAGATAAGACACTACCCAGAGATTTCGCCCTCATTTTGTGAGGACTTTATGATCTGAGTTCTTATTACCTTTTAATTTATCACTTGTATTTTATGTAACTTTATCACCGTATTATTGGTAATTTTCATGAGCAATTATCAAAATGTCATGAAAATTGAAAATATAATATTTTCTTTTTTTTCTTTTTAATATCATCATCCAAATTGTAAAGTAAAATAAGGTTTAAATTTCAAGAACTTAAACCTAGATAAAATCACTTATACACTCGTATAAAATCACTTATACACTAGTATAAAATCACCTGCCTAGATACTTTTCCTTGGATTTTTTTGTGCAGAATAATCAAAGCCTCAATAGTGATTGTAGATGTCACATCATCAACTCTTATTCATCTGGATGACCTTTGGTCAACATCGTGTGTGCAAATCAGTCGAACTTCTTTCGACATAGGAATCTGAAGGTTTTAAAAGTCTTAGCATTCTCCTTTGATTGGAGTCTGAAAATTCAGAGTACAAAGGATGCCACAAAATTGCAAATATTATAGGGAGTACCTCAAATATAAAGAGAAAAGTTCTAGGGAATCATTGACTAATAGTATTCAAGAATTTTTACAGAAAGAAGTACTTTGAAGTAAATTTTAAAAAATTTTATGAGACATTCTCTACCAAATATTTCATCTAATTTCGATGAGTAGATAAATCACAAAGTTTAGAAGTTTAGAAATAAAAAGGACAGATATTATAGGATTGTTTATGAAATTTTAACCTTATCAAACAACTATATTGTCGAATGAAAATTCAGGGCAGTCAGAAAAGTATTTATTTATGTTCATAAAAAATTTCAAAAATTTTAAATAAATGGCTACAACAACAACATCAAGCCTTTATCCCACTACGTGGGGTTAGCTACATGAATCTTTTTTCTCCATTGTGTCCTGTTAAGAGTCAAATTCTCATTTAAATCTAAAAAAGAAAGGTCATTTATAATATTTTATAACCAAGTCTTTTTAGATCTATCTTTATCTTTCTTAACATAAGCCGAATCTAATATATCTACTTTCTTAATATTTCCTTACCGTGTCATCGGAAGGCCTCCGTTTTATGTGACCAAATCATCTAAAGGCGACTCTCTCTAAAAAGAATGCAATTTCGGCATAGATGGATAGATCACAAAAATTCATTGAAGGAAAAAGGATTGAAATTTCGGCATCATAATATTAAAACAAAATTTGAAAAAAAAGATAATATAATAAAAGTAATTAATATGTTCTTTTTGTAGAAACACAGTCATATAGATCATTCAACTCAAAATTTTCAGACCAAAATTTTGAGTATACATACAAAATCAAGTAAGAATTTTTTTGAAAATAAACAAAACAGAGTGATGAATAAAAATACAGGCATTTTTTTGAGGAATATTCCTTGTCGATATCTCAACATTGTTGCATCGAGAAAGATCACTCATAATTGGAACTAGTTGTGGGTAATGATCAACTCTTTTTAGAAAGAAATCACTAGAATTCTGCTAAAGCAAAATGCAATTTTTATGTTTTACTCACAACTTCGCTTGTTGGTGCTCTTGGTAGAAAAGCACTGGAGACTGCAAGGGGGAATGCAATCCGCCCATACAAGGTAGTGGTTAACCTCTAAGAGATGGAATCATAACCTATAAAAAGAGAATTAGGTGTGAGATTTCCCTTCACCCATGGGCGTGGTTATAGTTTTTTTTTTTTTTGGCAAAAGGGAAAAGATGAGTTACATTTTTCTTTGAAAATTCTGAGAAAATTTTGGATTTTCTTGCAATTTTTTTTTTTGCTGTTAAAACCATATACTTAATGATAAAAATATTTTTAATTTTTTCTTAAAAAATGGACTATTATTATAGCAGCTCGCACGAGTGTATGGGCCCAACTGCACACGCACCTACGTGCATGCTAGTGGTGGTAGCGGATCGACTGGCCAACATGATCCATCCTAGTTCAATTTTAGGCTCGATTATGCTTATTCTGTCATTTTTTGATGTTTTGATGTCAATTTGACTTTTTTTGGAACCTGAAGATGCCTCTTAAATCAAACTAATTTGGAGTATTGAAGGCAACATTTTTTAACAATATTTTGCTCCAATTGATGTGTTGACTTCAACATAAGTTGAAATATTAATTTTGGAGAATTTATTTGGTTTGCAGCCCCAAGTGAAGGTCCATGTTGATGTTCAGGGAATGGTCGTGTCTTGTAATTTTTCCAAAATTGTACTTTCTTGCTAATGGATTTTTTCAAATAAATAGATATTTTCGATGGTTTTCATCTGAAATTAAGGGGACAAATGATTTATCTCAAAAAAGTTCACTTGATTGACACAAATCTTGATGCGCTATTTGAATTGAAAATATAATTAAATTTAGAATTATTTGAATTTGATTTCGGCAAACTTATAGTCAAACTGAGCATATTGACAAGATGAATCTAACCACATCAAAAGTTATCTGATTCGAGTCCATTTGATCCTAAATCAAGCATTTGAAGTTGAAATTTTTAAGCATTGATTGAAGGATCAAATGATGTCCAAATTTTGCATGCTTATAGTTAAATCGAGTGATTCCTTTAGACAAATCCAATAAGCCTAAGTTCACTAAATTCTAAAGTTATTAAGACACTTAAATGATGTATGAACAATTATGATTTAAGGAGTCAATATGAGCTATCCGATGGAATGTTATGAAAATGTGGTCGAAAATACCAAAATGCTACTCTCAAAATATTATAAATAGGCTTTTATTCTATGAATAGAGAGGACCTAGACTAGATCTTGGAGATCTAAAAAACTTCTACTTGGTGTTTGACATTTGATGATCCCTACTATTGTCTGACTACTTTGTATGTTCGCCATCATCTTATACGACCATCATCATCTGGTTACCATCTTACATCCTATATATATATACAGGCTACTTTTCTCGTCGTCAACTCCTGAAAACAGAAGGGCAATATGGTTAACTAAAAATTTGGCTTGCAACTAACCCATGATTGAATTTACCTAAACAGAAGGGAAAAATGGTCTGACTAAAAAGTTGCCATCCTACTTTATGTTTATAATAAAGATTATTCCTTCATTGGCCATTTGTTGAAAATGGACAACTATCCCTGAGTGAGTTATTAACATTACCAGAAAGCTTTCCGATTCCACTACTTTCATTTCTGTTTTGTTGGTTGTTTTTTTATCCCAATTCTAGCATAATCATTTTTCAAGCATTTGTTAATGAGAGATTAATTAATTGTATGTAGGTGCATGTTTATATCACCGTTACCATATTTGCATAGCAGTGTGAATCAGTATGTGTATTTTTGCTACTCATATATTTTTGGGGTAACCATGGCGGAATTTGGTGAGATGAGGTGGGGTCATAGCAACCTTTACCTTTATGCTTTTTCAGATCTCTTTTAAATGGTATTGGTTTTGCATAACAAATAATTAAATGAGAACTTGAAGGTTTTGCTTGAAACTTATTTCGACAACTGTGTTTTTGTTCCTGTTTTTCTACTTCTAGTGCTCTGTTTGTTTATGGTGGTTTTCTGATCCAACTCGGTGCAGGTTTGTGATTTTGGTCTCTCCCGGCTGAAGCATAATACATTTTTGTCTTCCAAATCTACTGCTGGAACGGTGAGTACCCTTACAAACTGCAAATTCTTTGTTCATTGTTATGAAGGGTAAGCTAGGCGGTCATTGTTAAATTTTAATTATCCGCTATGTAATAACAGTTTTTTCTTTTCCTGTCAGCCGGAGTGGATGGCACCAGAGGTCCTACGTAATGAACCATCCAATGAAAAGTACGTTCAGCTTCCTAAATTCTGATTCATGTAGTTGCCTGTTTCTTGCTTGAATACGAAGCACTATTCTGCCTATTTTTTGTTATAAATTATCTATTAATATGCATAAATGCTTTATTTGTTAAACCTATCCAGATTTGTGAAGTAGATGCTTTTTGATGATTAAGAGCGAAGGGTGGATATTTTTTTTTTTTTACGTAGTTAGAAAATAGCTTCAGGTGGATGAGTGGCTTTACTCTTAGAGATAGGATATGAAATGAGCATATACGTGAAAAGGTTGGAGTAGCTCCAGCGGAAGATAAGATTAGAGAGAGTCACCTTAGATGGTTTGGTCACATTAAACGGAGGCCTTCTGATGACCCGGTTAGGAAAGTTGAGGTATTAGATTTGACTTATGTTAAGAAATGTAAAGGTAGGCCTAAAAAGACTTGGTTAGAAAATATTAGAAATGATCTTTCTTTATTAGATTTAAACGAGAATTTGACTTTTAATAAGACACAATGGAGAAAAAGGATTCATATAGCCGACCCTACATAGTGGGACAAAGGCTTGATATTGTTGTTGTTGTAGTAGTAGTAGTTAGAAAATAGCTTCAAGGGTAGTGTTATTTTGTGTGAGTCCATAAACTCTTAAAAAAGTGTAGTAGACGCATAGAGCCTTTTCTTTTAAAATGAGCAAGTAGGAGGTAGTATAAAATACTTAGAAATCAAAATTGCTTGCTGGAAAAATAATCTTTGCAGTACCAACTTTAATTTGGAAAAGCGTGAAAAGTGATGGGCTGTACTAAGGGTTGGCAATGCTATATTATTTCATCATTATCATCATTCTTATTCTAATTATTTGGGATTTACATCAGAATACTCATTTTTTCATTTAGTTTTATTGTGTGATGTTTGTGATACTAAATCTATTAATTACAAATTATTTTGAATAACTATCCATGTAATTTAAGGTTTATCATTTTTTCCTTCTTTTTCCCTTGACATTAATTTTATCAACTTGCCTAACAGATTTAATTTTTATCCTTCATTGAGCATGTCTAGATTATAAGGCCTATTTTTTGTTATCTTTTCTTTAATAAATGTCACTCTATCCTTTTCTCCAAAACACATTCATTAAGTTATCCATGCCAATTTTGCAAAACATTCATTTTATCATTCTCATTTATGCCACATTCAACTTAGATATCAACAAATTTTTTATAGCCCACCATTAGGATCCATACACGATCCTTGCTTAATTGCGGCATTATCAAAATTTATATTAAAGTCTCTGTAAAGTTCTCTTATCATACAAAACTCTTGATGCAATTCTCCATTTTAATTATCCATCATTAACTCTTGAAGTTATATATTCATTTATTTTTTATTGAAAAAAGAAACAAAATGATCCCTTGACTCTTTAGGAATGACTAAAATAGTCACCAACTATATTAAAGTATCATTTTGGTCTCTCAAATTTTTAAAAAGGAATCAAAATAGTCCCATGATGAGACTATTAGAGAAATGATTATTTGATTTGTGAAGGAATAAACATAAAATTTATTTGAAATAACGAACATTTACTTTTATTCGGGCTTGTTTAATAGCTTTGCTTGCTTTTCCTTATGGATTCCAAGTTTTAAAGAAGTATTGGAACATTTGGAACTCATCCCAAGTTATAGAAAAAGAAGAGATATAATCATAATTCATTGAGATTGCATTTGTATCTAATATTAAAGCACAAAAGAGAATATTAAATTCTTCGATGTACTCAAGATTCTTAGAATAATGAATATACACATGCTATTGGAACACAAATAAGCATAATAAACTTCCCATCTATTCATGATTCTTGAGAAATAACATCACTTACTAATTATTAATGCAAGCATCTTGTATGTCTTTGATAATGAATGATGCATTCAACACATGATCTGTTAAAATATAAGTGGATCATCATATATCACTATTTTTTTATTGCCATTGAAACTAAAAAGAAAATTTGACTAAGACACAAGACATTCTATACTTATCAAATAATTTCATCACTAGATATTAATACTCGCAAATTTTTTCAAACAACACGTATACACTATTTGTTGAACAAAAAATATTGTAAACTTCATGTATATCTCTAATGGCAAGCTATGCATTCAATACAAAAAACTAAACTGTAAGAGAACATAAAAAACTCCATCTATTTCATGTATATTTCAAGAAACCTTGTTGATTCCTCCTTTCTTGATCTCAAGAAAAGAGAGATCCCAAATTTCATTTACTCAACCTGATTGAGCGAAAAATTAAGTATTAGAGAATCCAAAATATCATCTCAACTTCTAAAGAACAATGACTATATATCAAAAATGAAGGAGATATAGCAACAGTTTAAATAGGGTTCATTGCCCGAGGGGAGGTCCACGTTTACATCCAGGAAGTGGTCACTCGTAATTAACCGGAAATCGTAATTTTGCATTGGAACACTTTGAAATGCTCTGACATGTATTTTCGGACTCTGCAAGCTTCGATGCCCGAAAATAGAGGGAAAATTGATGCATCATCAACAAATTATCTTGATCGGGCACAAATCTCAAGGCAAAGGTGAATCATAAACTTATGAAATAATTTCGAGACCATCCAAACTCCAATTTTAGCAAACTTATAGTCAAAATGAACATCTCGAAAAGACGAATCAAAGACACCAAATTTGATCCAATCGGAGCCCAAATGAGTTCAAATTAAGGTCGCAAAGCACATTTGGTTAAGGTCACAAAGCACATTTGGAAGCTTCAAAGCATAAGTTGGATAACCAAATGATTTCAAAATGTGACATGCTTATAGTCGAATTAAGCGGCTTGATGAGACGAATCAACGAGCCCAAGATCGCAAATTTTGACCTCATTAAGACACTAAAATGCATGATAAATAGTCTATAATCAAGGGAATCAATATCGGCCATCAATTCAAAACACTCCCAACCTACCCTTGATCTTCTCACTATTTACTAGCCATGTCACTTAAAAAAAAAAACTATAAATAGACACCCCATTTTTCACAAAAGAAAAAAGAAAAGAGAGAATGAGAAGGAAGATGAAGAAAAAAAAGAAATCTAAGATCTCTCTTGCCACCAAGCTCCTCCTCGACTACCGTCGGGCCACCAATCGTCGCCGGACTACTGCTCGTCCACCGACTGTAGCCGGACTTCCGCCCAACCACCGATCAAAGTTTCACTTCCGCCCGGCCCCTGACCGACACCGGACTTCTGCTCGGCCACTGACCAACGCCGGACTTCCGCTTGGCCACCGATCGTTGCAAGACCTTCGCCTGGCCATCGACCGTCGCCGGACTTCCGCCCGGCCATCGACCAACATCGGACTTTCGCCCGACCACCTACTGATGCCAGACTTCAGCCCGGCCACTAACTGACATCAAACTTCCACCTAACTCTCTGTACTATTTTAATTTTACCGTCTTCGATTTACTGGACGGATTAAGCTTTGCAATTCATCCAAATACTAGTGGAATCATTTGAACTAGGCCAGGCCTCATGGTTTTTTCCCCTTTTTGGAATTTCCATGTTAAAAATATTGGTATTTATCTTTTCGATTTGTGTACTGGATATTCATGAAACGCTAAGATGAAAAACACCCTCACTCTACTGCTGCGTATATTCTAGCATGCAACAACAATAATCCTTAGTTTTCTTAAATTTTTGTGAAAGCAAAATAAACGAGATGAAAATCCAACCGATTTTTTTTAAAAAACTTATTATTAAAACAAGATCATAATATATTTCCCAACATTCCTTAAGATTAAAGTTAACGAGGTTAATAATCATTCCAAGAGAACTTTTCTTCTTTCTCTACATCTCTTTTGCTCAAAAATAAGAAGAAAAAGAGTGCAGCCACTTAAGGAAGAGGAAGCCCTTTGATGCTATAAGAGAGGAAAAGTTTAGAGATAACACCTCTTTCATTTTTCAAAAAAAAATTGCAAGCAAGGGGCTTTCTTCTCTTGTTTTTGCCTCCATCCAGCATGAACAAAAACACTTCTCTCCTTGGCTCAAACGAAAAATGAAACCCATGCCCAAGCAGCTGCCCTCTTCGTTTCCTTGCTGGTTGGAATGAATAAAAAACTCACAGCCCTCTTTACCCCTTGTAAAACCTAATAACTCTATAGGAAATGAAAGACCATCAAGCCCCCATCCAAACCATTCCAAAGGCTCAAATTAATTGCTTGATTTGAGAGTTATTGAGGGCCGAAATTTGAAATAATTTTAAATCTTGTTTAAATTTAATTTAAATGAATTTGAGTAGATTTATTTTTAATCTTTTTTCTTATTATACAAATATATTTTTTTAGAATTTATTCTTCTATATTTAGTTTTATATTTTATGTTTTAATTTTGTAGATTTTATTTATCATACATGTTTATTTTAATTTATATATTTTATGTTTTAATTTTGTAGATTTTATTTATTATACATGTTTATTTTAAGTTATATATTTTATGTTTTAATTTTGTAGATTTTATTTATTATACATGTTTATTTTAAGTTATATATATATGTGTGTGTGTGTGTGTCTATATATGTTTAATGAACATTCCTTTAGATTTTAAGTTTATTATTATTAGTAGAGTTATCAAAAATAAAATAAAATTATCTCTCTTCGACACACATCAATTGGTGTTCGATTTGGTCAACAATTGGTTATTTCTTTGGACAACCAACTAGAAAGTGAGGCTCGCTACTCATAAAAAAATTAGATGATGTTGCTCATGTTGTGTCATAACCCAACCCGAGAAGCCCACTAATGGGATAGGTCCTATCGTGTTGGCTTGCAACAGACAAATACCAAGTCTAGTTTTGAAAAATTTCCAATTTTCTTCTAATATAAATTTTGACTTATGTTGAGAAAGGTAGGGATAGACCTAAAAAGACTTGGTTAGAAAATATTAGAAATGACCTTTCTTTATTAGATCTAAATGAGAATTTGACTTTTAATAGGACCTAATGGAGAAAA